TTTATATTTACAGGTAATGAATTCCAGATTTTAGGGCCTTTTATGTGCATTGAGTTTTTGCATAGCGTGAGATGGACACGAGGAATATCAAAGAGTGATCTGTGCCTTGTGTTATGGTCATGTGTTCTGTTGAGGTTGGCAAGGAGATGTTTGAGGGGAGGGTTAATATCAGAGTTGAGTGTTCTATGTATGTAATAGGTGCAGTAATAAGTATGGATGTTTTGTATGGTGAGTAGGTTGAGTGTATTGAATATTGGTGGAGTGTGCTGCCTGTAGTGAGAATTTGTTATCATTCTAACTGCAGCCTTTTGTTGGGTAATTAGTGGTCTGAGATGGTTACTTGTTGTTGAGCCCCATGCACAAATTCCATAGGTGAGATAGGGGTAAATAAGAGAGTGATATAGGGCCAGGAGGGCTGACTGTGGAGCATAGTACCGTATCTTCGATAGTATGCCTACAGTCTTGGAGATTTTCTTAGAAATTTGTTGTATATGTGTATGAAACTTGAGTCTATTATCAAGGTGGATTCCTAAGAATTTTCCCTCTGTTAGCTTTGTGATAGGTGATCCGTTTATCATTATGTTAAGAGGGACATCTGTAGCTCTGTTACCAAACTGAATGAAGTAGGTTTTGTCAATGTTTAGTGTAAGTTTGTTAGTACTCATCCAGGTAGATATTTTCTGTAATTCGGTATTTACAGTATTGGCTAGCGTGACTGGGCTCGGGTGGGAGAAGACGTATGTTGTGTCATCAGCAAATAGTGTGGGTTTGAGTAATTGCGAAGCATTTGGTAGGTCATTTATGTATAGGAGAAAGAGAAGAGGGCCAAGGACACTTCCCTGTGGGACACCAACTGTAATTGGTTGTGCAGAAGAGTTTGCCCCATTTGCGTACACATATTGGCTTCTGTTGCTGAGGTATGACTTGAGGTAGTTGAGGGAGTGCCCTCTTATACCATAGTGTGACAATTTTACGTGGAGCAAGTCATGGTCAACTGTATCAAAAGCTTTACGTAAGTCAATGAAGATCCCCAGTGGGACTTCTTTTTTCTCTATTGCAGTGTATATATGTTCTAGCATGTGTATAATAGCATCATTAGTATTTTTATTAGGCCTGAATCCAAATTGGCAGGGGTTGAGTATGTTTTGGGAGATAAGGTAGGAGTAGATTCGTTTATGAATTAATTTTTCGAAGATTTTTGAGAGAGGGTGTAAGTTGGATATTGGCCTATAGTTATTCAACTCTGTTTGGTCTCCTCCTTTGTGGATCGGGGTGACCCTTGCTATTTTGAGTACTGTAGGGAAGGTGGAGGATTCAATGGATTTGTTAAAGAGTGTTGCAATGATTGGTGATAGCACTTGTGACACTTTTTTGTATATAAAGGGTGGTAAGGTATTTAAATCTCCTGCCTTGTTTTTTTAGTGCGTTGATAATAAGGGAGACTTCGTATGGGTTAGTCGGAGCTAGGAACAGTGTGTTCGGGTAGTTGCCGGTGAGGTAGTCATTTGGTGGGGTATCTGAGCTTGGGATTTTATTGGCAAGGTTTTGTCCTATAGTGGAGAAGAAATCATTGAGTCTGTTTGCTGTTTCTGTTGGTGGGAGTTGGGGTTCATCTGATTTTGCTAATTTTATTTCGCTATTTCGTGATATCTTTTTTGTTCCAGAATTTTGATAGGGTTTTCCAGGTCTTTTTTATATCAACTCGTAAGTTGGATAATCTGTTCTCATAATACAATTTTTTTGCCCTTCTTTTTAAAGGTGGTTAGGATTGACGAGTAACGTTTTTTTTTGGTCTTGGTTATGTGACCCCTTCTGTACTGTTTTTCATATTGGTGTTTTGTATTTTGGGATTTGGAATGCTGGGTGTTAGCAGGGACTGTTCAGTCTCTTAGCTGTCATTGCTTAGTTTTTTTAGGGCAGTGCTTGTTATAGAGGGTATTGGGTTTTTTTTGAAAATTATTAATACATTCGTCAATATCTGTATTGATTTTTTAGTCAGTGTTTCCAGTCAATGTTTGCTACTGCTGTTGTGAAGTTATTAATGGCTGCCTCATTGTGAAGTCTGAAGGTGACTTTAGTAGTGTCTTGGGGGTAATTTCCCAAAGGGAGTTGTTATGAGGAAGTAGGGTAGTGGTCTGGGTATTATCTGAAATTATGCCTGATTTTTAAGGGGATATGGTGTTGGTCCAGATGTGGTCAAGTAGGGAAACACTAGTCTCTGTAACTCTTGTAGGTTTTGTTACTGTTGGGAGCAACATAAAAGTTACTCATGTGTTTGTGAATTCAGTAACGTGTGGGTCCTGGGTCTTGCAGGAGATTTATATTGAAGTCACCTGAGAGTAGTAAGTGGGTCTTTGTTCCCTGCGTGCATCAGTTATCATATTCCTAGGTTTTGACTAAATTGGCTAATGTTTGACTGTGGAACTCTGTAGTGTTTATCAGTGTGAGAGGTTTTTGTAGGGATTTGGATTTGAATTTGGCTATTATATATTCCCATGTTCATCTCTTGTGCAAGTATTAGTGATAAAATTCTAGTTGGTTGAGTTTAGTATTTGGCTGTGCCACCCCCTTGTTGGTCTGGCCTACAGTTGTGTATGGCTGTGTAACCAGGAATGGCATAGACATCTGTACTATCAGGCTTTAGCCAGGTTTCAGTTAGTGTAATGATGGACATATTGGCATGTAAGGAATTTAGTAATGCTATGAGGTCATCGTAATGCTTGCTTAAAGATCTGATTTTGTAGTTAAAAATAGTTATGTTGTTGTTGGCACTGAGAAGTGCCTTTGATTGTTCTGCAGTGTAGTAATTACAGTAACTGTTTGATTCATTTAAGATAAGATAAGATAAGATTTCGTTCGGATTTTTAACCCCGGAGGGTTAGCCACCCAGGATAACCCAAGAAAGTCAGTGCGTCATCGAGGACTGTCTAACTTATTTCCATTGGGGTCCTTAATCTTGTCCCCCAGGATGCGACCCACACCAGTCGACTAACACCCAGGTACCTATTTGCTGCTAGGTGAACAGGACAACAGGTGTAAGGAAACGTGTCGAAATGTTTCCACCCGCCGGGAATCGAACCCGGGCCCTCCGTGTGTGAAGCGGGAGCTTTAGCCACCAGGCCACCAGGCCACCGAGGTTGGTATCAGGATCAATGCTTGTAATCATAAGATTTGTAGTGAATCTATAGGTAGAATTAAGTATAAAACAGAGTAAATAGTCTTAAGCTAAAAAAAATAGCACCTGAATTATTTAACAAATGTAAATAATGGGGCTAAGGGAGTTTTTTTTTTTTAAGCTAAAATAAAGGAGACAATATAAAAGGGACTAGTACAAATAAAGTGATGATCAAATAATGGAGCTTGGGAATATGATAGTAGGTAGTACTATAAAATAAATTAGTTTTGGAATATTAATGGCAAAATTGTGAACTTGTTCTACTTTAGCACCTGAGAATAGCACCTTGATTATTTTAACAATTGTGAATGTATAAACTAGGGTAGTTATATAAAGCTAAAATAAAGGAGAAAATATATAAGGGATAAAATTAAGAAATTGGTAAACAAAGTTAAATGGCCCAGATGGTCACTATGAAATAATATTGGTTTAGGAGTAAGATCTGATTTGTAATATTAGATAAAATTGACAGTTTATTGCACAATAAAAGTAAAAAAAATGAGGTAGTTGGTACTAGCTAGCAAAAGATAGTTTTGGTACTTGCAAAAAAGAAATTTGGGAAATATACATAATTGCATACACATTAAAAAGTGACTAAAAAACAAGTAGTGATAAACAAAATTAAATGGACAGGTAAGAAAAATGAATATTATTAATTTGGAGTAAGATTTGACTTGTAATTTAAAATTATGAGCAATTAATAGCAGAAAGAAAGAAGTATAGAGTATTGGAGGTAGTTGGCATTAGCTAGTGATGAAAAATAATAAAAATAATAATGTACAATATAATAGTAACGTACACTATATGCACCACACGTATATATGTATTAAGGGCACTTATCTAATCTGTTACAGAAATGTCAGCTTTTCTAAGGAAGGTAGAGAAATCATGTTCGTTTGAGATGGTATATTGTTGTCCTGTTGATGTTTTCCTATTATTTTCCCATCTCGCGTGAAACACTGATGTATTTTGTTTTCCTGTTTAAGTTTTCTCAGCCTGAACAGAAGGTTTTGACGTTTTCTTAGTGTCAAGTAAGGAATATTGTAAATTAAGTCTTATTATTATTAGCAATAAAGATACATGGCAACTCTCAATGTTGTAAGATGGGGAAAAAGAAATGTAAACACGTCAGTTGTTTATACACAGGACGAGCTCACGTACACACATACATACAACAAACCGGCCTTATCCCACCAAGGCAGGGTGACCACTGAGGCAGGGTGACCACTGAGGCAGGGTGACCACTGAGGCAGGGTGACCACCGAGGCAGGGTGACCACTGAGGCAGGGTGACCAACCAAGTTAGGTAGAGCAACCAAGTTAGGTAGAGCAACCAAGTTAGGTAGAGCAACCAAGTTAAGTAGAGCAACCAAGTTAGCTAGAACAACCAAGTTAGCTAGAACAACCAAGTTAGCTAGAACAACCAAGTTAGCTAGAACAACCAAGTTAGTTGGAACAACCAAGTTAGGTTTCACCAGCTGCAATTGATTCCGAGTGTTTGCTCCTTCCCGTCCAGTCTGGGCTGTTAACCCGTCCAGTCTGGGCTGTTAACTGACTTGTCTTCTTTACCTCCTGTTTATCTTCCTTTAACGTGCGTCTTTTAACATTATTCCCCTATATACAAATAAGTAAAACCAATTAGTTTTTCTTCGGCTGTATCAGTTTGCTCGAGGAACTAACTTAACTTCAACTCTATAGAAGTCAAACTAAACAGAAATATTATTTCAGAGCAATTTTATTTTTTAATACATTTCTTTTTGCCTTTCAGGATCGATCGTGGACAGTACTGGTAGTTATGATGGTGTTGTATTGTTTTCTACCGTCAGTCTAGCATCCGGCACTTTGCTCATGTTTATATGTTATTTCATCCACCGCAAAAGATGTAATCAGCAGCCTGTGGAAAGTGTATAACCGTTAGATTAAATCTCCTAAAGAACCAGTCATGATGCAAATATTAGTGAGAGTTGTTCCAACACAGTAAGATCGTTGGAAAATCCTCGCCGGGCCACCATCTGGAAAAGACCCTGGCCGGGACAAGACCAGCGAACTTACTACAGATGTATAAATTACAATTTTGAGACTATGATAATTAATTACTATGGAAAAATATTAGGTTGTCTATGTAATTACATAGTTGTAATTAGCTGTGGTATTTGAGTTAGTGAAGATTTATCCACAACTCTTGAAACCTCTTCTAAACATCTCTTGCCTGATGTGATTTAGTTATTTCGTGTTGACTATTGAAGCTATGAGACTTCACACACATGCTGAGGGCACAACACCTGTCCTCAACATGTCTGAAATCGCAAGCCAACTACACCTGTATGAACATTTCTACTTATTGCTTAAAGAACTCTCATTTAACTTAAGAGACTTTTCTCCCGTCACTGGTCCTCGGTAGTGTCACAGCACTGGTCCTCGGTAGTGCCACAACACTGATCCTCGATAGTGCCACGGCTCTGGACTGGTGCACGGTAGTGCCACGGCACTGGACTGATCCACGGTAGTATCACGTCACTGACCCACGGTAGTGCCACGTCACCGGCCCTCGGTAGTGCCACATCCTTAAAGAGTTCAGCTTCGACACACACGGAGGTTTGTCTTCGGCATGAATTTCCCTATACTCAGCCAACGGCTTAATTCAATCACTACCTTATTATTAACGTCAATTTAAATGGTTGAAGGTATTAGACGAAAGGAGAGAAGGATTTTCTAAAGACTAAACAGCGAGATTGTATTCCATTTATATGGCATACTAACAACTATGACTTTTGGTGCCTCGCAGCGCGTCCTAACCCATCGTCTTTCTATGTAGAGCACTCATCAATAATTCTAATTGACCAATAGAGTTAAATTACTCCTACATGTATATAGAGATACCATTTGTTATGACTGTGAAGAGAACCTGTTCTGTCGTAGGTACTGTGTCCGTGATCTGCAGACAGTTGACTTCTAATGCTGTTTTAGACGCTGAGATACTGTTCTGTCGTAGGTACTGTGTCCGTGATCTGCAGACAGTTGACTTCTAATGCTGTTTTAGACGCTGAGATACTGTTCTGTCGTAGGTACTGTGTCCGTGATCTGCAGACAGTTGACTTCTATGAGATGCTGTTTTTTTAGCGACGCTTTGGTAGATACTGTTCTGTCGTAGGTACTGTGTCCGTGATCTGCAGACAGTTGACTTCTAATGCTGTTTTAGACGCTGAGATACTGTTCTGCTTCTCTAATAAGCCCAGTGGCCTAGCCAAGCCTTGATGACCGCCTCTTCGGTCGGTACTGTAGGGATCACGAACATGAACCTCCGTGCTGGTTCACGACGGTGCTACGTGAGATGCTTCAAGCATCTCTTCATTTTTATTTATATATAACTAGTACATATTTTAAGTATTTTATTTTGTGTATTGCATGGGTTTTATTCTAGTAATTATTTTCTTTAATTCGAGGCTCTACTGCATCTAGCAGGGATTAATTTAATATATATGGAGGGTGTAAGCTGTGAGTGCGACATGTGAGTGTGAGCTGTGAGTGTGAGCTGTGAGTGCGACATGTGAGTGTGAGCTGTGAGTGTGAGCTGTGAGTGCGACATGTGAGTGTGAGCTGTGACTTTGAGCTGTGACTTTGAGCTGTGAATGTGAGCTGTGAGTGTGAGCTGTGAGTGTGAGCTGTGAGTGTGAGCTGTGAGTGTGAGCTATTGGCTATTGGTGACAGCAGTTCCCTGATCTGAGTATCTGATTGGTTAATTAGTTCCTTTTAAAGACAATTCTCTTTTTTCCTTTCAACAAATTCAGTCAAATAATGATTTACAATTAGCCCTAAACTTCACCGTTTTCTTGACAGAATATAATTAAATTAGCTCAGATACTTTTTCGTTAGATAACTAATATTTTACATTTGCTACTACTAGTTCTACTCATGAATATACAACCTTGAAAATGTGAGAAATCACGACAGCGCTTCGAATTTCACTATTTTTTCACAGTGGTTATTCTGCATGTTGTGATAACACCTGTTTACCTGGAGTTTACCTGGAGAGAGTTCCGGGGGTCAACGCCCCCGCGGCCCGGTCTGAGACCAGGCCGTGATCTTATTGCATGAATATATAACAACTCGGAAAGAAAAATTTATCATCGTGCCACCGTCTAACTCATAATTTAATGACTATTTGTGTTTTTAGAAATGTTTTGTAATATCTGTGTGGCTCCGCCGGTTACTTCCACTGGTCTCTCCTACACTGGTCTCTCCTACACTGGTCTCTCCTACACTGGTCTCTCCTACACTGGTCTCTCCTACACTGGTCTCTCCTACACTGGTCTCTCCTACACTGGTCTCTCCTACACTAGACTCTCCTACACAGGTCTCTCCTACACTGGTCTCTCCTACACTGGTCTCTCCTACACTGGTCTCTCCTACACTAGACTCTCCTACACAGGTCTCTCCTACACTGGTCTCTCCTACACTGGTCTCTCCTACACTAGACTCTCCTACACAGGTCTCTCCTACACAGGTCTCTCCTACACTGGTCTCTCCTACACTAGACTCTCCTACACTGGTCTCTCCTACCCTAGACTCTCCTACACTGGTCTCTCCTACACTGGTCTCTCCTACACTGGTCTCTCCTACACTGGTCTCTCCTACACTGGTCTCTCCTACACTGGTCTCTCCTACACTGGTCTCTCCTACACTGGTCTCTCCTATACTGGTCTCTCCTATACTGGACTCTCCTACACTGGACTCTCCTACACTGGTCTCTCCTACACTGGTCTCTCCTACCCTAGACTCTCCTACACTGGTCTCTCCTACACTGGACTCTCCTACACTGGACTCTCCTACACTGGACTCTCCTACACTGGTCTCTCCTACACTGGTCTCTCCTACACTGGTCTCTCCTACACTGGCGTCTCCTACACTGGTCTCTCCTACACTGGACTCTCCTACACTGGACTCTCCTACACTGGTCTCTCCTACACTGGTCTCTCCTACGCTGGTCTCTCCTACCCTAGACTCTCCTACACCGGTCTCTCCTACACTAGACTCTCCTACACTGGTCTCTCCTACACTGGTCTCTCCTACACTGGTCTCTCCTACACTGGTCTCTCCTACACTGGTCTCTCCTACACTGGTCTCTCCTACACTGGACTCTCCTACACTGGTCTCTCCTACATTGGTCTCTCCTACCCTAGACTCTCCTACACCGGTCTCTCCTACACTAGACTCTCCTACACTGGACTCTCCTACACTGGACTCTCCTACACTGGTCTCTCCTACACTGGTCTCTCCTACACTGGTCTCTCCTGCACTGGTCTCTCCTACATGGTCTCTCCTACACTGGTCTCTCCTGCACTGGTCTCTCCTACACTGGTCTCTCCTACACTGGTCTCTCTATACTGGTCTCTCCTATACTGGACTCTCCTACACTGGACTCTCCTACACTGGTCTCTCCTACACTGGTCTCTCCTACCCTAGACTCTCCTACACTGGTCTCTCCTACACTGGTCTCTCCTACACTGGTCTCTCCTACACTGGTCTCTCCTACACTGGTCTCTCCTACACTGGTCTTCTCCTACAAGGTCTCTCCTACACTGGACTCTCCTACACTGGTCTCTCCTACACAGGTCTCTCCTACACTGGACTCTCCTACACTGGTCTCTCCTACACTGGACTCTCCTACACTGGTCTCTCCTACACTGGTCTCTCCTACACTGGTCTCTCCTACACTGGTCTCTCCTACACTGGTCTCTCCTACACTGGTCTCTCCTACACTGGTCTCTCCTACACTGGTCTCTCTACACTGGTCTCTCCTACACTGGTCTCTCCTACACAGGTCTCTCCTACACTGGTCTCTCCTACACTGGTCTCTCTTACACTGGTCTCTCCTACACTGGTCTCTCCTACACTGGACTCTCCTACACTGGACTCTCCTACACTGGTCTCTCCTACACTGGTCTCTCCTACACTGGTCTCTCCTACACTGGTCTCTCCTACACAGGTCTCTCCTACACTGGTCTCTCCTACACTGGTCTCTCCTACACTGGTCTCTCCTACACTGGTCTCTCCTACACTGGTCTCTCCTACACTGGTCTCTCCTACACAGGTCTCCTACACTGGACTCTCCTACACTGGACTCTCCTACACAGGTCTTCCTACACTGGTCTCTCCTACACTGGTCTCTCCTACACTGGTCTCTCCTACACTGGTCTCTCCTACACTGGTCTCTCCTACACTGGGTCTCCTACACTGGTCTCTCCTACACTGGTCTCTCTACACTGGTCTCTCCTACACTGGTCTCTCCTACACTGGTCTCTCCTACACAGGTCTCCTACACTGGACTCTCCTACACTGGACTCTCCTACACAGGTCTCTCCTACACTGGTCTCTCCTACACTGGACTCTCCTACACTGGACTCTCCTACACTGGACTCTCCTACACAGGTCTCTCCTACACTGGACTCTCCTACACTGGACTCTCCTACACAGGTCTCTCCTACACTGGTCTCTCCTACACTGGTCTCTCCTACACTGGACTCTCCTACACAGGTCTCTCCTACACTGGTCTCTCCTACACTGGTCTCTCCTACACTGGACTCTCCTACACAGGTCTCTCCTACACTGGTCTCTCCTACACTGGTCTCTCCTACACTGGTCTCTCGTACACTGGTCTCTCGTACACTGGTCTCTCGTACACTGGACTCTCCTACACTGGACTCTCCTACACAGGTCTCTCCTACACTGGACTCTCCTACACAGGTCTCTCCTACACAGGTCTCTCCTACACTGGTCTCTCCTACACTGGTCTCTCCTACAATGGTCTCTCCTACACTGGTCTCTCGTACACTGGTCTCTCCTACACTGGTCTCTCCTACACTGGACTCTCCTACACTGGTCTCTCCTACACTGGTCTCTCCTACACTGGCTCTCTCCTACACTGGTCTCTCCTACACTGGTCTCTCCTACACTGGTCTCTCCTACACTGGTCTCTCCTACACTGGTCTCTCCTACACATGGTCTCTCCTACACATGGACTCTCCTACACTGGTCTCTCCTACACTGGTCTCTCCTACACTGGTCTCTCCTACACTGGTCTCTCCTACACTGGACTCTCCTACACTGGTCTCTCCTACACTGGTCTCTCCTACACTGGTCTCTCCTACACTGGTCTCTCCTACACTGGTCTCTCCTACACTGGTCTCTCCTACACTGGTCTCTCCTACACTGGACTCTCCTACACTGGTCTCTCCTACACTGGTCTCTCCTACACTGGTCTCTCCTACACTGGTCTCTCCTACACTGGTCTCTCCTAACTGGTCTCTCCTACACTGGACTCTCCTACACTGGTCTCTCCTACACTGGTCTCATCCTACACTGGTCTCTCCTACACTGGTCTCTCCTACACTGGTCTCTCCTACACTGGTTCTCCTACACTGGTCTCTCCTACACTGGTCTCTCCTACACTGGACTCTCCTAACTGGTCTCTCCTACACTGGTCTCTCCTACATGGTCTCTCCTCACTGGACTCTCCTACACTGGTCTCTCCTACACTGGCGTTCTCCTACACTGGTCTCTCCTACATGGTCTCTCCTAACTGGTCTCTCCTACACTGGTCTCTCCTACACTGGGTCTTCCTACATGGTCTCTCCTACACTGGTCTCTCTACACTGGACTCTCCTACACTGGTCTCTCCTACACTGGTCTCTCTACACTGGTCTCTCCTACACTGGTCTCTCCTACACTGGTCTCTCCTACACTGGACTCTCCTACACTGGTCTCTCCTACACTGGTCTCTCCTACACTGGTCTCTCCTACACTGGTCTCTCCTACACTGGTCTCTCCTACACTGGTCTCTCCTACACTGGACTCTCCTACACTGGTCTCTCCTACACTGGACTCTCACTAGGCTAGGAACTTGTTCTTATATACTGTGTGTGTTGATCAGAGTTCTGTATGTTGTGATCATGCTCTTGTTTGATTTATGCCCCTTTGGCATGAGCTCTACGTCCTGATTTTTTTTGTCATTGATCATGTTTCACCTCACTAAATTATGTGGGGCTGTAGCTCCAGCTCCTGGGCTCCTCCCAATAACCATTTATCTCTCTGCATGATGTGTCTGCTAAGGAATTTTATTATATTTTGTATTATTTTCATTTAGTTAAGGAATTTGCCTCCACTAGATCTGTGCCTCAAACATTCTACTTGCTCCTCACCCTCACAATAAACAGATTATCTCTGTATCTCTGGGACTTATTTAGTGTTTAGATTCCAGTTGTGTCTTGTGTCTTGGTCCAACCTCTTTCAAACACTCTGTCTTGTCTTACCTTAGTGATATATATGAGTATCTTGAGATCATATTTCTTCATTGCACGTCTCCATTTCAGGGGCTAGTCTAGTGGTGAACCTCTGACTCTGGAACTTCCTTTATGTTTCAGACTTGGATGTCATGGTGGTGCTACCTGTCCGATACCTGGTGTATATTATCCTAGAAATACCCTTATTGAGCTTTATGAATGTTACTAAAATTGTCTGTCGTGTACATGCTACAGACATTATCCTGTAGTCGCAGGTTTGTTGTTACGCCCAGCCCAGATTCTTTTATGTTTTTTTTCAACATTGGCATATGCCTTCCTCTGTTGTTATATAGTACGATTGTTTCCCTTTCTCTTCCACTTGGCGTCGCCTTCACCTTGGTATTGAGCTTGTATAGACGTTTGTGGAATCGTGTTTGTACCTTTTAAATGTCTTTGTGTGCAATTTTACGAACCAATTCCACTCCTTTCATAATTTTCGGCTCATCTGCCAACAAAAACATGCGAGCATCAATGACTCCAGACAAGTCACTAATTCGTATCAAGAACTGTATGGATCAGAGAGCTGATCCTTAGGGTGCACCATTTGATCCCCTTTCCCGGCTTAATGTCTTCTGTAAGCGTCTGTCAGAGACATACTTGCAATTTTTCTCTATAGAAACTCCACTAGGTTAGTGCATATTTTTTTGTGGATTTACTCTTTCTACATGGTGTATTATTTTTTCTGTCTCAGTGTCTTCAGTATTTCAGAGTAAATAAATATCAGGAATGCTGGCCAGTAGGTTACAATTATTTGTTTGTACCCCTTTCAAAGTGGTGGAATTACTGGTGATGTTATGTTCCCGAGTGTCTGTTAGGTTTGTGCTTCTTTTTTTTTTTACACAGGGTTTGACAAGGTTAAGGATCCCTAGCTTTATTGACAAGCTATTTACAGGTTAAGGATCCCTAGCTTTATTGACAAGCTATTTACAGGTTAAGGATCCCTAGCTTTATTGACAAGCTATTTAAGGTTAAGGATCCTAGCTTTATGATCAAGCTATTTACAGGTTAAGGATCCCTAGCTTTATTGACAAGCTATTTACAGGTTAAGGATCCCTAGCTTTATTGACAAGCTATTTACAGGTTAAGGATTCCTAACTTTATTGGCAAGCTAAGAGCTGTTACCTACATCAGCTCATTTGAAAGCATTTTTATTGTTATGAGACATACAAGTAGGGAACAGGATGAAGTTGGAGCCATCTGTTCTGGCAGTTGTTTATTTTCCTAATATTTGCTAAACTGAACACTTGGTTTCTGGGGAAATTCCGTATAGAAGACTGCTACTATTCTGAAGACTATACATATTATTAAAATTATTATGTGTACTAGCGCGGTTTAGTTGCATACAAGGGAAGCTTGTCTATGTATATTTTAACATAGTGGTGGGGTTTATTGGAGGTATTAATGAGTACAAGGGATGAATAAATGTTGTTTATTGTATACCTGAGGTGTGGTTGAGACACACCTGAGGTGTGGCAGACACACATGAAGTGTGGCAGACACACCTGTGGTGTGGCTGAGACACACACGAGGTGTGTCTGAGACACACCTGAGGTGTGCAGACACACCTGTGGTGTGGCTGAGACACACACGAGGTGTGTCTGAGACACACCTGAGGTGTGGCTGAGACACACCTGAGGTGTGGCTGAGACACACCTGAGGTGTGGTAGACACACACCTCGTCACTCACAGTTACTCACTAACACACTCCACATATCACCACACAGCTAGCACTCTGTAAACAGACATTTTCTTCAGTTACGTCTTTATTGGTACAACTTTTTACCCACGAGTGGAGGATACGTTTACACTAGAGTGTGTGACCTGCCCTGACTAGGTGGGTCATTGGTTTAAGCCAGGAAGTGACTTTGATCTGCCTCGTATGGGCCAGTAGGCCTGTTGCAGTGTTCCTGCTTTCTTATGTTCTTATGTGAGGGTTTAAAAGTTCACACTAGAGTGTGTGGG